GTCGTCTGCCAACTGCTTCATCTTGACGAGCTTGTTGAGCAGCGCGGTGCCCTGCGCCGCCGCAATCACCTTTTCCGCGCTCGGCGGCAGCGCGAGCCACTGCGGCGGCTGCTGCTCGGGCAGCGCGAGGACCCACGAGATGAAGCTGTCCATCTTGGTGCCCTCGGGCGCAATGAGCGGGTCCTTGTCGTCCTTGACCAGCGCAAATCCCGTCTCGTAGGCGGCGGGCGAGAAGAGCTCGTCGACAAACGAGTCGAGCAGCGTCTGGTCCGGATCGTTGTCGATCTTGCCGCCGTAGACGCTCTGCTTGAGCAGCGAGCGGATGGCGTCCCAGGGGATGCTGGCCGGGTCGACATTGGAGCGGCCCTTTGCGATCTGCATCACCCATCCCTCGATGGTGTCGAGCGCCGTCTCGGCGTCAGAGTCGTTGAACTCGAACGGCTTCGACCAGCCCAGCGGCGTGTACCGCAGGCGCTCGGTCAAGGTGGCGTGGAAAAAGGCCAGCAGGAAAAAGAGCCGCGGCGTCTCGGCGGGTCCGCGCTGCAGGCGGCTGGGCGCGATGCCGCGCAGGCTGTCGAGCATGCTGGCGCGGATGCCCGGCGGCGGCTCATTCATCAGGATGCGCGAGGCGCGCAGGAAGTTGACCGGGATCGACGGGCTCGTCTCGCACGTGAGGAAGAGGCGGAAGTTGCGGTTGGGCTGGAGGCTGTGCATCTTCTTCTCGAGCTGCGACAGCCAGCTCGGCGCCAGGTGGACGTTCTTGAGCAGCACCCAGTTGCCCGTCCGGGCGCCCGCCGTGATGGCGTGGTCGGCCAGGGCGAAGCCCTCCTGCGAGCCCATGGCCACGGGCGTGCACCGCGCGCCCACCAGCTTGACCAGGTTGTCGACCCGGTAGCTGGCGTCGTAGCCGGGCACCGAGCACAGGGCGATGGGCGTGCTGGCGTCGACCTCCTCGTCGACAATCTGGCCCAGGTCGTATCCGGGCTCGCCCAGCACGTCCTGGCCGAAGACGTGCGAGGTGAAGGCGGCCATGGCCTGGACGATGCGGTCGGGCCGCAGGCACTTGACGACGAGCATCTTGCGCACCATGTCGCCCAGCTGGCCGACGGTCTCGCCCTGCCAGAAGCGCGGCACCACCGTCTCGGGGCTGTTGGACCCGAGGAAGACCAGCCACTCGTCCGGGTGCGACTCCATGTTCTCCTCGATGGCCCCGAAGAACGAGAGCTTCTTAAAGGCCTGGACGCGCGCCAGCTGGTCCGGGTCGAGCATCGCCTCGACGTTGCCGTCGCCGCCGCGCGGGGTCTCGGAGCCGACGCGGATGCCGACGCTGCCGCCCTCGAGAAGGAACTCGTACTCGTCGCCGTCGAGCGTCTCGGCCTCGCCGCCTTCGCGGGCCTTGATCTGCGCCAGCAGCATGGCGAGCATGATGTGGTCGTGGTGGGCGAGCGCCTTGCTGGTGCGGCGGAAGACGACGAGAAAGAGGTCGCGCATGAGGATCTCGAGGCGCTGCTTGGGGTCCCTGACGCCGTCGAGGTGCGGGTTGCGGCGGAGGATGTAGTCGAAGATGTCGAGAAAGAAGCGCAGCGAGAACTGGTAGAAGTGCGAGATGAGGTTGAGCTGGTCGAGGACAAAGAAGACGGAGCTGCACGCCTTGGCGAGCGGCACGTACTCGGCCGTGACCTGCTCGACTTCCTGCATGACGGCCTCGGTCTCCTCGACCTTGGACGTCACCTCGGCGGCCTCCTTTTTGAGCGTCTCGAGCGTGTCGATGACGTTGTCGTCGTCGAGGATGTTGCCCTTGGACTCGTTGAGCGCCGTCAGCAGCGAGCGCTCGAGGTGGCGCAGCCGCAGGCGGAACTCGCCCTGCAGCTTCATGAGGTCGGTGCGCTTCTTGTCGGTGTCTGGGCGCTCGACCTTGAGCACCTGGTCGAGCGACTGGCTCTGCAGGCTGCCGCGGGTCATGGTGAAGTTGACAAACGTCACGCGGCTGCAGATGTCGGGCGAGAACTCGACCGAGGGGTCGCGCGTCGAGAGAAACATGTTGAACGAGGGCGAAAAGTCGATGTCCTGGCTGCCGAGGCGGATCAGGACGCGGCCGCCGGTCCTGCGCAGCTCCTTGTTGAGCACCGGGTTAAGGACCGGGTCTAGGTTCTCGACGTCCTGGATGAGGAGCGGATTGCCGAAGCGCAGCGAGCTCTCGAGGGCCTTTAGGAAGGCGTCGTCGAGGAAGCTGGTGACGGTGAGCTTCTGCGACTTGTACTCGTTGAGCAGGAACGACGTGGCCTGGCCCGAGGGGTCGATGATGAGCGGGTACCGGTTCCAGCGCTTGAGCATGATGGCGTTTTCGGTGCAGAGGGTGTCGGCGGGCAGCGACCTCGACTGCCACTCTATCCGTTCGTCGGCCGTCGAGAGGTAGTCGGCAAACGAGAGCTCGGGCTTGAACTTGACGTCGGCCTCGGCGAGGTGGAGGCTCCAGTAGTGCCACATCGACTCGCGGTACTGCTGGTCGAAGAAGCCGGCATAGGCCAGCATGGCGGCCGAGAGGAGGGCGTCGCCGACAATGGTGCTCATCTGGTCGTCGAATGTGCGACTGCCCGTCTCCCAGCGCTCCTGCTCGGACGACAGGCTGTCGAGGAGCTGCATGCTGCGCGACACGCGGTTCTGGACACGCTCCATCTCGCCCTTGATGGCCTGGGTCTCGCTGATGAGGGCGGCGTACTCGTCCTTGTAGCGAGCAATCTTGGCCTCGAGGTCGGCAATCATGTCGACAATCTCCTCGGCCTGGTGCTTTGTGACTCCCGCCTCGCGCTCGAGCGAGTTGACCTCGTCGCGGAGCGGGCCGACGCGGTCGAGGATGCTCGAGTACTGGACCTGCGCAATGACCCACTTTGCCAGCGGGCCGCAGGCCTTGCTGGCGCGGTTGATGGTCTCGTAGTTGTACTCGGGCTTGTCGAGGTAGTCGCGGCGCATCTTTTCGCGGATCTGGCGCGTCATCTGTCGGTCGGTGTCGAAGTTGACAATCGAGGCGATGAAGTCGTCGCGGCGGATGATGCCCTGGACCGTCTTCCAGCTGTCGATCTTGTGACCGAGGATGATGCAGACCGACTCCATGGCGTTCTTGACGGGCAGGGGCGGGTTTGCCATGGAGCGGACCTCTGTGAGGTGCTGCTTCTTGATGTTGCTGACGGATGCCTGAGCCTCTCGGACGGCGGGTTCGGCGGCGTTGAGGTCTGCCAGGACGACTTCCCTGCGCTCGCTGATTTCGAGCTCCTTTTTCTCGAGGACGGCCTGGAGCTGTATGGAGGCGGCCTGCTTCTGCTCTGCCTCTTGCTGGTCCTTGACCATGCTCTGCAGCTTGTCGTTTGCCTCTGCGTTTTTTGCCTCGAGCTGGGTTCGCTTTACGGCGAGGCTCTTTTGGAGCTCCTCGACCTGGTCTACGGTGGCCTTTAGCTTGTCGAGGCCGACGAGGAGGAAGCGCTGCTGGTCCTCGAGCTCTGCGCGCTTCTGCTGGGATACGTTTACGTAGTATTCGATGAAGCTGAGAAAGTGGCGCGGGGACTGGTGGTACCTGCGACCCTGCCTGCGGCGCAGCCGCTCTGCAAAGTTGTACACGCTAAAGTGGATGAAGACGAGCGCCTCGATGACGGCGGTGCGGTTTGGGCCGAGGTCGAGTGCGTTTGTGAGCTCGGTTGCGACGGTGCGACATGCCTGGGGAGACCAGTCGCCGGGAGCCTTGCGGCTGTCGTCGACGAGGATGGCGTCCATGGTGGGAGAGGGGAGGCCGAGCGGGGGTGGTATGGGCGGCGGCCAAGGGGCGGTGCGGGGTTAGTGCATCGGGTGGAGGGGGTGGTGGTTGTTGAGAGGACGTGGTGCGGGGTGGGGTCTTGATGGCGGTGACGGTGGTGGTGGTCTAAGGCGGCGAGGAGGGCGGGCTGAACCCTGGCTTATAGCCTGTGTTGGGTGTTGGTCGGTGCGGCTGCCTGGCTGGCTGGTTGCTTGGCCCAAGCCGTGCCGGTGTGGGTGCGCCAATATTGGCCGCCCAACCTGGCGCGCGCCCGCTGGCCCAGACCAACACCGCCCACAAAGCTTCCCCCTCTCCTCGCCACCTCGCCTTCATAACGCGGCCCTCGCCCCACCGCCGCCTCCTCCTGTCGGGGCGCGCTTCCCCTCCCTTATTGCAACACGCACTACTCTAGCTTCCTCTTGCTAAAGACGTGCACATGCGCCCCAAACGCCCCTCGACAGCACGCCCACGCAGCCAGCCGCCCGCTGGTTGACGCACGCCCTAACGCGCCCTGCGCCCTGCGCCTTGCCTCCCCATCCCACTGACCGCCCACGCTGCCTCTGCATCTCGCTGCTCATCCTTCTTCTTCTTCCCCTTCTCCTTCTTCTCTCTTTCTCCTCCTTCCCATCTTCTTGACCACCCCTCCACTGACCACGACGGCGCAATGACAGACAACGACCAACAGCAGCAACAGCAACAAGCCCCCCTCCCACCCCTCCTCACCACGCGCCATCGCCCGCCCTACTTCTTCAGCGACCACCAAAAGAGCCTCGCCGCCCTCTACATCCGCCGCCTCAAGTCCGACGACGATCGCGGAGACACCATCCCCATCCCCGATCAGCGCCAGGAAGACGAGCTGGGAGGCGTCCTCTGGCACGGCAGCCAGCGCTCCATCAAGGGCTCCCTCCTCCGCACAATCACCAGGGGCTGGCACGTCGACCCTCCTCGCGGCCCTCGCCAGCGTCGCCGTGGACCTCTCGCAGCAGAGGCTGACGAGCGTGAGGAAGAAGACGACGATGACGAGCAGTGGAGCGAGACGGACAGCCAGGTCGGCGACGGAAGCGAGGTAGAAGAAGAGAGCGCCGCGTCGAGCCAACACGCGAGCATGGACCAGGACAGCGATTGCAGCGGGCATCATGCCAACGCCGACGATGCCAACATCGAGCGCGATGCTCATCAAGATGCAGTCGCGGCCAGCTCTGACCCCGCTGACGCCGACGGCGACGACGACGACGACGACGACGACGACCCGTCTTACGTCCCATCAGACGCGGACCACGAGGCAGACCCGACATTCCTCACCGAGGCACCTTTGCGTCCTTGCACTCCCTCGTCCTCCTCCTCATCGGCATCGGTGCGCTTCGTCGACGGCGACCGACTGCCTCAGTGCGCCCAACCAGGTCGGGGCTGGACACCGCCGCCGACCATCAACCTGCTCCACGAGCGCTACTTTTCCACCGCCATCGGCGAGGACGATGACCGAAAGGTGGTCAAGGTGGAGGATCCCATCGTCGTCGAGGACAGCGACGACGAGGCGCGGCGCGAGCGAGAAAGGCTGCCGCTCATGCACCTCGAGCCGCACCACCCGCGACAGACCAAGAGGTGGACGCGCTACCACGTCGCCATTGCCCTCCGCGTCCCGCGTCCGCGTATCATTGGCGCGTCTGTCCCTTCACTCGACGGCGTCTCTGCGCAGTCGACGTCGACATCCAAGCCTACGAGGCCCAAGTCCAAGGGCATGTGTGACATGCACCCTCCCACGTTCCCGACGAAGGACGAAAAGGGCGCCGAGTCCATTGACGAGGGTCGAGACAAGTTCAAGCTCGACGACGACGAGGGTCAAAAAGGCAAGATCAAGGCTGACGACGAGGTCGAGGAGGGCGATATCGCAGAGGGCCAGATCGAATTCGAAGCAGAAGCGATAAAGGACGACGACGAGGGCCAGATGGAAATGGAAGAAGCGACGACGAACGACGCGGACCAAGACGGCATGACTGCGCACGACGGCGAGGCAAAGAAGGACGAGGACGTCGCCGCTTCCGCCTTGGCTCCCGTGGCGGCGGCGACGACGACGACGACAGTGCCGATCATTGACGTCGACGCGCTCATCGCAGATCCCGCTGCACCGTCGTCGTCGTCATCGTCGTCGGCGGAGCATAAGGGATTGGATCACGACATCAAGAAAGAAGGAGGGGACGAGGAGGAGGAGGAGGAGGGGTACGACTGGGAAGATCTAGCCGAGGCGTTTGTCGTCAAGCGACGCGGGGAGAGGCCGACGAGGTGGGAGTGTCTTGACCAGATGTGAGCCCGCCTTTCTGGCCCCTGGTCCGTGGCGCCCCGTTGGCGTCCCATCCAGCTGGTCCTCGTCATGCTGATGCTGATCCCCTCGTCTCTCTCTCCCCCTCTCTCTCTCCCTCTCTTCCCTTCGCTTCTACTCGATACCCGACGCGATGTTTGGGGATTGGGATGGGAAGGAGGATCAAGTACGCCAGCGTCGAAGCCGTTTGAAGGCCGTCGCACCGTCACCCTTCACCTTGTCTCACCTTGGATGCGAGAACGAAACGAACGCCATTCAAAGCACGGGTCCAGACCAGACCAGGTCAGGCCACCCCGTCACGTCCCGGCACGTCACGTCACGGCAGGTCGAGGCGAGGCTGGCAGACTGGAGGGTATCAGGTTGGTCGATACGACGCCGTGCACGGTAAGATTCCAAATGACGACCCGTCGATTCAGGGCAAGAACAAGAACGAGAACAAGGGCCGAGAACAAGAGCAAGAGCAGAGCAGAGCGGACGCGGGGTGGTGTCGTGGTCCCCCGAAGACGAAGGTGAAGATCAAGAGGAAGAGGAAGAGAGAGAGAGCGTCGTCGGCTATGCGGGCGAGTGGGGTATTCCGAGAAGATGGGTTGAGGACAGAGGACAGAGGGCAGGAGAAGCAAGAAACGAGGGACGACAGGGAGCAACATTGATGTCCTGCTCTCCTTCCCCCGTGTGGCAAAGGGCCGGCGAGGGAAAGAGAGAGAAAAGGGGGAGCAGGGGAAGTGATCTAAGCATCCCATCCAACATGACGACGAGACGGTCTAATCCCATCCAATCCAGCCCATTGATCTAGGTCCCCTCGTCCTCCTCTGCGACAACCGATGACCACGACCACGACCACGACGAACTCGCCGACGCAGCCGTAGCAGTGACCGTGGGTGGACAGCGCCGGCTCAGCAGCGGATGCCGTTGGGTCGGGCGGTGGGGTCGCGCGGAATCCATCCGTACTCGACGCCCTTCTGGTAGCTCCAGTCCTCGGCCTTGCCGGGCTCAGTCTTCCAGGTCCACATGATCCAGCCGCTTCCGCCCTCGTTTGCGTCGACCTGCGCCTCCCACATCTTGCCCAGCAGCGTCTTGTAGCCGTCGCTGAAGCCCGATGCGCTGCCAGACTTGGGCCCGCAGCTGCGGATCCGGCCGCGCGATCCGGCAAACGTGCCGTCGTAGCGCGCTCCTGTTCCCCGGCCGTTGACTGCGGGGTGGTGGGAGGGGGAGGAAGAGG